CCTCCCGCTCGGGCCGCTCACACCCACCGGCCGCCGCGATGGTCCCGCACGGAGCCAGCTCGCTCCCCTCCCTCGGCCAACGCTCTCTCCGCTCTCCCGTAGCCTAGGCAACAGCCCGCCGCTTTCCCTCCCAGCTCATACGCTCAGGTGACCTCGGGCAGCCAATTGGGTTCCCGAGCGCCACGTGACGTCTCTGGAGCAGGCGCTCCGGAGCAAGTACCGGCGCTGCCGAGGTAGGCGGGAGAAGCTGCGAAGGCTAGGCCCGGGGTAGCGGCTGTTGGGCGGGTTTCCTTTGGGTCCGCGTCGAAGTCGCGTGAGCCCCGGGTTCTTGGCGCGGCGCCTCGCTTTGGTCTGGAGGCGCGCCAGGGGGCGCTGCTTGGGGTCCCCTAGGAGCGTGGGGTGACGGGCTTGGGAGCCAGGCCGCCTTGGCCGTTCTCTGGCAAGTCTCCCGACGGGCTCCGGAGTCCCGGAAAGCCTGGGCTGCTGTGTAGCTGCAGGCGGACCCAGGGCTGCTGGGTTGGAGGTCTGGCTGTGCAGACCCGTCGGCAGGGCCCAGGGCAGTGACTGGGCCAGGTGCAGCGGAGCAAGAACGTGTCTCCAAGCTCCAGGGCAGGCCTGGGACTCTCCGGCACGTTGAGCGAGGCGCGTCTAATCAAACCGCTAGGGAATCGGGTAGCAAAACGATCCGGGTTCCCTGCTCGTGAGCTTGACCAGTTTTCTTAGATTCCTAGCGGTGGAGCCCAGTCCTCCTGCCTTGCAATGAGGCTGGATGTTTTACTGGTGTATTTTTCACCGAGCTCTATCAAATCAAGGTTCTTACGTGCTGCATCACATACTGGTATTAGCTGTTGATTTAGCATCCATTGATTAGACTTTGGAGGTGCAGCTGCATTAATCTAACTTATGAATCTACCAGGCTGTCTGTCCCATTGCACTTAAAAATGCTTATTGCTTCAGGAGAGCAGTGGACTAGGGAAGGATGTTTCCACTTCTTAATTCTTTCTCCACACTGTGTAATCTCCTTTTCCTCCTTCCCATGTTTTAAATTTATTTTTATCTTTTCATTCTTTTCATTTTTCTGTATCCTGAAATAAGTTGAAATCCTCAGAATTTAATCAATCAGTTGTCACAGCAGTAGAAGAACATCAGAATACATTGCTAAATGGAATCCATCCAAGCCCTTGTGTATAATATTCCATTTATAGGTACACTGAAAGGACCTTATTCTCCTTCCACTTACTCTCCTGTAAATCCATAACTATTAAAGACAGTGGCATTTCATCTAAGGTGAAACAGCTTGAGATATAGTCTTTGGGCTGCACCTGTATCTGCCAATATGTGATATTTAGATTCTTTGTTTCTAATGAACCAGATGATGAAATCACTGAAACTTAGCAGAAAGTGAATACAAATTAATTAGAAATGGACTTAGAAGTTATGAATCAACAAATTAAATGAGTAATAGGAATTTTAGATAGCTAGTTGCCATATTTCAGTAATTAGAATTTTTTCAAGTTCTCCAAAACATGGTGGTAATGCTTAGCTTTTACTTATGTACTAGCCAATTAGCCCATCATAAGATGGGATTTTCAGGTCTTTCCTCCATGTCGGTCTTCTCTCCTGAGCTTCCAGTCTCTTGATCCGTCTCTCTCTTTCCTCCTCCTACTGCCTCCCGTCCCCTCTCTCTCAGCTCTCCTCCGCCTTCTGCCTTTCTCTCTGTCTCTCTTTATCTTCTCCTCCCCCTCCTGCCTCTCACTTGGGGGACCGCAGAGCCCAAACAGCCGTTTGGGCTCCGCACTCCTTGTGCTGCATGGGGAGCGCGGAGCCCAAATGGTCCCTTGTGCCACTTGCTCCCACGCGGCAGCCTGGCTGAACAGCGCAGTAGTCAGCTGAGTGCCACGGCGGGAGGCACCAGCGCCACCCAGAGCGAACAGCCAGCGTTACAGAGTCACAGACATTGGGCTACTATATATATGATGCAGTATTGGTGTGGCCCTTTTGTCCCCAGAATATTAGAGACACATTGTGGATGAATTAGTATCTTTTATTGGACCAGTTTCTGTTGGTAAGAATTACAAGCTTATGAGTTCCATTTCCAAATCTGAAGAAGAGCTCTATGTGGATCAAAAGCTTGTCTTTCTTACCAACAGAAGCTGGTCCAATAAAAGATATTGCCTCACCCACCTTAGCTTTTATTTAGAAGTTTTCATTTATAGAAATCAAACTTTAGAGTTTATAATAGTGTAAAATAGATAGAGACCTGCGTGGATGCATCTGTATACTCAGAGATGAGCTGTGGATATCCATATTGACATCCACGGAGACAGATACCTGTGGATATCCTCAAATTGGCAGAACTGTAACTAGGGATGTGAAAGTGTAAATATGTACACCAGGATAGGGATGTGAATGACTAGTCTACTATCTGATAAGCAAATGCTTATAGGATAGTCAACATGCTAGTTGACTAGTTGCTTCCCCCACCCTTGCTGCCTTTATCAGAAAGAGGCAGCAAGGGGCAGGGGAGAGAAAGGGGCCACTTTGAAATGCCACGTGCAGTCTGGGGCTGTTAATTCAAAGTGGGAGCATGTCATGGAGTCCGGGGTCATCCGGGGACTCAGAGTCCCCAGCTGACCCTGGGTTTCATGCTGCTTGACTCCCTCTCTGGCCCTGTGCTCCCGGCAGCACTTTTGCCTTTGAAGTGTATCAACAAACCTGGTGCTGTTGCTACACTTCATAGGCAGAAGCACCCTTATTGACTAATGGTATAGTCGATGCATCAACTATTTGATTAGCCAATTAATCGAAATTTTACATCCCTGGGCGGGGAACCTAAGGCCTGGGAGACATATCCAGCCCCCAAAGCTCTGGGCTCCTCCCAGCAGTGCGGAGCTCATGCTGGTCCTCCTATGTGAGGCTGGATCACTCAAAATGTACTAGCCTGAGCCCTCCTAGGTCTGGTGTGTGAGTGGAATGCGGGGAGTGCCTTTCTCCTTCTAAGCCAGGGGCCATGTCAATTGTGTGTGAACCCCAACTGATTTTTCTGTAGGTCGTTGGCCCCATCCCCAAAAAAGTTCCCCATCCCTGGTATACACAGTTACGTGCAGCACCCCTCCCCCATGCTGCTGCTGTTCCCATGTGCATACTGACTCCCAGTTACCCCATCTTTACCACACTGCTCCCTCTCAGGCAGCAGAGTGGGGGGCAGGCAGGAGCCGGGTACACATAGAGAGCCGGCTTTTAAGCCGGCTATCCACATGGACTGGCTCCCACAGAGCCATTCCACATCCCTCCCCCTCATACATGCTGCTCTATTGAGGCAGCAGTGCAGAGAGGACAGAAGCCTGCTCCCTGCGCATGCAGGCTCCTGGAGCCACTTTCCCCTGTGTGTAAACTTGAAATTTTCAGCAGTTACATGTTTACCTATCTAAACACTTTATCATCCCTGGTTCTAGCTACAAAATTTGTATCTGCATCTGCAAAAATGAGCTGCGGATATCTACATCCACGTCTGTGAATATAAAGCGGATATCTGTGCATTTGCAGGGTTCTAATAATAGAGTTCTCTTTCACTAATGCAGCTGATTATGTTACACTGTTTTTAATCACATTTAGTTGGGCCATATGAGGCTAATGGTTCTAACAAGAATAAGTAGTTTGTACATTTTTAAAATGTAATTGAACAATTTTATTAATGGGGAAAAGTGCTTAATGAGGAATACTTTGTTTTAGTACCCTTGACAAAGAGAACACTGTAAGACACTGGAATTTATAAAGAGTGACATGATACTACCATGGTACATCTGGTGTGAATGACAGCTGTTGTGGAGTACTGAGAAATCTATATCCTTCTGTTATTTACAGGCAGCTGTTAAAAGTATGTTATCTATTTTGTGTTGACACCTATAAATCCAGTAAATATTTGTTTCTCAATGTGGAGTTATTGATAATTACACCTAAGTAATATAATTAGAAGAAATATGCTAAAAGACATGCCAGAGATCTTAAAAGGTTGATAAAGTCTGAGAATTACCATATAAAGAAGCATATTAAGTTTCTGTCCTCGTACCAAGCTCCTATTGAGAAAGTTACTACATGTGTATGGATTGTGGGCAATACTCAAGATCATAATGCTGAAAATCTGATCCCATCATCTATCTTTAAGATATTGGTTTTTCCTATGATCACAAAACGGATCAGTCAGTTGCATATCATGAATTTTGAAAAATGGAAATATTTTAAATGCTATATTTTAGCTATATATCTTTTAGCTATATTTTTTAAAATACTAGTTCCGTTTTAGGAGCATGAAAGGTAATAAACAATGCACAGTAGCTAATGCTGTGACAAAAATTGTAAAAGCAGATTTGTGGTGGTGTTTTAGGGAAGGCACAAGAGACAGTTGGGAAGTAAATTTGGTGGGGCAAAGTTGCATAACATATCTGTTGTGGAAGCAGGAATCCTGCAGTAATAGGAAATTATCTGTATATCTCAAAGATTAAGACAGTTTGCTACTCAGCTACCAGATAGAGCTGCACTTGTTATGACAGCTGTTGGAAACTGATGCCAGCATAGCATTTCAATGTCTCTTGATATTTTTAGCTATTACAAAACTCAAAATGTTAATGATACCTAAAATGATCTATGGAAATGGATCAGTTATGTTAATCAAGAACTGCTCAAAATTGCTTAATAAGTGGTATTTACATGAGTCCTCCTCTAGCCAGATTTGCTTGAAAAAAAGCAATGTGAACTCTTTGCAAAGATGAAATCTGAGGATTAATCCAGATTTATACAGTGCTTTGTAAATTTAACCCCCTAAAAATGCCCATTATTATTTAAATCTTTAAAAGCCATATCCCTGAAAAACTAAACTATTATAGCATTGCTTTTTAAAGTAACAAATTGTCTTAGTTTTTTTTCTTCTACTTTGTCTCCCACTGCATTCTTACTGTTTAGTGCTCATTTTGCTGCATGCATGCATTCCTTTTCCAGCTTAAATGGTTTGAAATGTATCTGTGTTTAACAGTTGGGCTAAATTATGTAAAAATCCTGCCATCTCCTGGCATAAGTGAAAAATCTGATGTCTTAAGTGCAAATTTAGGGTCTGAATACTGCAAAGATTTCTAATGTGGAGTTAAGTTTTAGTCACATTAGCAGTCCTGTTGACTTCAGTGGTGACTACTCATGAGAAAAATTAGTTATGAAAAAAGTCTCAGAGGGCTAGTTGTGTTAGTCTGTAACTTTAAAAATAGTGAATAGTCCTGTGCTACTTTAGAAACTAAAAAATATATAGGATCATGAGCTTTTGAGCCTATATATTTTTGTTAGTCTCTAAGGTACTACAGCACTACTTGTCACTTATGAAAGTACTAAATAACTATTTCTGATGTGAATGAAAACTAGTGAAATACAGAAGTTTTTGGTACATTTTTCTTACTACTTGACAGCAGATAGCATATTTAGAAACAGCTTCTTTCAAAAGTAATAGATAGTTCAGGTCAATAACATAACTAAGATGATCAATAAAAGTTGCCTGTTCAGCAGAATATACAAGGAACACATCTTTAAGCACACCAAAAATGATCTGTATTTACAATATTTTTTCTAAACACTGCATTTTTACCGTAGGTGTGTCTTTTAATAATACTTTTTATTGACAATATAGTATTCATACAGTGCTAATTGCCTTCCTTATAATATAGTGGTTTCTCTAAAAATAAATGTGAATTTAATTGGTTGTGGGGGAAGTTAATTATGGTTGAAATCAGGGCTGGTTGATCCATGATTTATTTACTAGACTCTCTGGTTATTAGAAAAAGTAAAATGTGCTTTATTTACATAGTCTAGAATGGCTGTTTTTTTGTTTTTTGTTTTTAAATTGGAATGAAATGAAATTGAAGGCTAGTATAGATTAATGAAACTTGATGGCACATTTTAAAAATATACATAAGATTTTTTCTTGCCTAAATTTATCCAGGTTGGGGAAAATATTTTTACATGTTTCTGTAGCTGCATATAAATTTCTAGTAAAGTATAATGCATTGAGCTGATGCTTAATAGAATGATACATTGTAAAAGTCCTTTTTAGCACCTTTTAGAAAATATTCACTATATCACGATTTGTATTGGCTGCTGATCATCTGTGGTTTTGTAGTAAAAATGCTGTACTCACAAGGTGGATAATTTAAAGTGTAAGGTATTTCAATAGACATTTAGGGCCAGAATTTCAAAAATGCTTAGCACTGGGATGCTGAACTCCTTTGGAAATCTGGTCCTTCACTAGCTTCATAAATGAGAGCTCAGCTTCTATTTTAAAATCTGGTTCCAGCTGTGGGTGGTGAGCATTTGAAAACCTGACCTGACCTCATCAAAACTGTATCCCTTAAATATGCTAGTGCACATTATATAATTCTTAAAACAAGAGTGGGTATTTTCTAAACGTGTTTTAGGATTTGATGGGTTTAAAAAAACACACAAAGTAACTGGGTAAATTTAAACATGAATTTTGAGACCTGAATATAAAACATTAGGGATGAAATCCTGACTTCATTGAGTTCAGTGGCAAAGCTCTATTGATTTAATCAAGGCCGGGATATCACTCTAGATGTGCTTAAGGTTTTTAAAATATTTTATTAAAAAATGCCTTAAAGGAAGCTAATAGCAGACTGAGATGTTATTTTTATCAAGAAGTATGTGAGGTAATCTACATAGGTTTATTAGTTTCAAATGTTAAAATGAACAACCTTGCACATAAATATCATTACATTTACTTTTACAGATTAATATTATTTATAGTTGAAACATATCTGGGGTTGCAAACCATATCTGCAGTTATTACAACTAAAAGTATTGCTTGGAGAATGCATAATACACTGACCTAACAAATGGCCTGGGAAGAGTGGAGAGAATAAAGTATATATGATATGCAGAAGACATAATTGATCTGTTTCAATAACAAAATCTGTAATGCACTTCTTAATCTCACAACCTTTATATTTAAATAAATATAAATTTACAAAGCAAAAGACAAGAGACTATAACCCCCCAGTATAAAATAATATACACCAAGATTAGTTGAAATTAATTTAATCTTGTTTAAATCTAATTTTATCTGTTGTCTTCAATAAAACATAGCATAATAGATTTTGCAAATAAAAATGCTGCATAAACTACTTACTGCGTTCCTGCATAAGCCTGTATCTTTTAAAATGTGTAGATTTTAATAAAGATATGTAATTTTTCATTCTAATATAAACTAGAATCAATTCTGAAAACTCCTGCAATAAAAAATGGCAAAGAAATACTAAATGCAGTACCTGCTATATGCTGAAGTTTTTCCAATAGTCAGCCTTTCTGCAACTTAATCCACACTGCCAGAGCTTCTGTATTAACTGCTTTTAACTTACCTCCTTTTTAAAAAAAAGTATGTCAGCACAAGCCCAGACGAAACTCCAAATCCAGGAAAATAAAATTAACCATGCAGATCAAAGGCAGAGGAGCACTGAGACCAAATGCCTGTAATCTGATCAGTGATCAGTTGCCATACATCAAAGGCAGTGCTTTGAAGAGGAAAAGAGCTCTCTTTTCAGCAGGTAGTTGTCCTCTTAAATTCTGATTCCAGTCCTCAAATTCTTTTGCTTAAAAATGGATCACATTAGTTCTTCCCTGCCCTCCCTCTTTTTTGTGATAGCATGTAAGAATGATGTGCATTCTGTTTAGAGCTGAGTGGCTGGATCTGTAGCTTTTTCAGTTCCCAAGCTATGCTGTGAATTGTGTGTTGGAAGCTTTCCCCAGTGCCAGCGGGTTCCGCTTTATCCCTTTCATCTCACTGAGCTGCAGATCCCATGACATCATTCAATGCTGTGGGACTGGTTAGAGAGCTATAATACAGCCTGTGGGGGAATACTGCTAAAGAGTAACACAAGTTTGCATGATTTGTAACCTGGTTGGCCCATTGTGAGAAGCACAAGGTTCATTTCAAAGTTTATCTGTAAGAAGAGAGACGGAATGTGAGAAGCTTTTTGTTTGAGAAGGTTCCTGATAATTTTCAAATGAGGGTATTTAATAGCATTGCCCCTAAAAAACAAACAAACAAACCCCCACAAAATTTCCAAAAGTCTGGTTAGCAAACATACAACAATTTATTAAACTGCCAAGCAACTAAAAAAAAAACCCCAAACCAAAAAACCATGCATTATGTGTGTCAGAAAAGCTTCATGGAAAAGATGTCTTTAAAATTTTCTAACAACTTGTTTCATTTCTGAAACTCCCAGTTGAGAAGAACTTTCATCCTATTGTGAATTACCCATTAACTTTTTTTTTATTGGTAGCAATTAGGGATGTAAAAGGTTAACCGATTACCAGGTAAACATTAAGCTTACCATGCCGCTTACCAGATAACCAGTTGAACAGCCAGCCGCCGTCCAGTCCCTGCCATGCTGGGCTGTCCCGAGTGGAATGGCAGGACCATGATCCTGGCCACTCCGGATCATCCTGGGCAGCCAGAAGGAGCTCCAGCCACAGTGGGGCGGGCTGACAAGATTCTGGTACCGTCAGAGGTAGAATGGCCTGGATGGCCAAGCGAGACCCCTGCTATGCTGGGGCAGGCCAGCAAGATCCCAGCCCTAGCTGTGCTGGAGGGGCCAAGGTGGCAAGGTGATCCCAACAGCACCAGAATGATCAGGCATGACCCTGTCCCTGACTGCACCAAGGCAGACCATGCTGGAGCATTCCAAGTGGCCAGGTGGGACCCCAGCAATTCCAGAGTGGGGCGTTCGAGACCCCAGCTGTGCTGGGACATCAGGCAAGATCTGCCTGCCAATGGTTAACGAATTAAATAGTATAATTTTAACTGGTTAACTATTTTAATGTTTATTTACATCCCTAGTAGTGTTGAGCCTATTGATGAGACCAGGCACTGACTCCAGGGTTGCCTTCCTCACTGCCAGTTATCATGCGCAAGACATTTAAACACTCCGGGCCTGACTCAACTGTGCCTCGTGGCTCTGTTTTTATAAAGGGAGCCCTAAGGTTGCCATAAGTGCCCCCCAAGAAATTTTCTGGTATAAGGGTAGTTGCTGGCAGGTATACAATCAAAAAAGTCATCTTTACACCTTGAACAACACAAGTAAGGGTTGTTGGGGAATGGAGAGGTGCAAATGAGGTTTTACTGCACCCTAGCTATTTTTAGCTTCTGAAATGGTTCATAGACTTTAAGGTCAGAAGGGACCCTGGACATTTCTAGTGTAGATATAGCCCTACTTTCTCGTGGTTGTCAATAAGGATGTGAATGGTTAATTGATTACGGTTAACCGGCAAGGGCTGAAGCAACCCTCCATCTGCGACAGGCCTGGTGCAGCACACTGTGGACAGAGGCATTCCAGCCAAGTTGGAGCAGCCCCTATCCATGACAGGCCTGGCCTGGCTGGAGCAGCGTGCCATGGGTGGGAGCGCTCCAGCTTGGCAGGAGCAGCCCCCACCTGTGGCCTGGGGGCTGTTTCAGCCCAGCTGGAGTGCTCCCACTCATGGCACGCTGCTCCAGCCAGGCCAGGCCTGTCATGGATAGGGGCTGCTCCAACTTGGCTGGAATGCCTCTGTCCACCGTGTGCTGCACCAGGCCTGTCGCAGATGGAGGGTTGCTTCAGCCCTTGCCGGTTAACCGTAATCAATTAACCATTCACATCCTTATTGACAGCCACGAGAAAGTAGGGCTATATCTACACTAGAAATGTAATAATGGTGCAGCAGCACTGCTGAACTGTTATGTAGATGCTCATTAAAGCAGTGGAAGAGGATCTTCCATTGATGTAGTAAATCCACCTCTCGAAGAGGTGGTAGCTAAATCAACTGAAGAAGTCTTCTTCTGACCTGGTGATGTCTGCACCAGAGTTTAGGTCAATGTGACACTAAGCACCTCATAATCGCACCCTTTTGACAAACCATGCCTTGTGAGGTACCATGGAAGCTAGTAAATCGCTGATCATGAATATGTGTGTGATGTATGAACAATATGTGCTTTTCTTCAATTTACATATAACCAGGGAACAGACCCATTAAGCTATCAAGTGGTAGAGGCAAACCTCACACCAACAAGTGGTGAAGAAGACAGTATAGTCAGTGTATGCGTCCATCAGTAGAGATAACCTTGGTCTGGCTTTTACTTTTCACATAGTCTATTTCAAAGGTTTACTGTTCTGTAAAGATGGAGAAGAGGGCTGAATCTCAAATGATAAGTAATCGAATCCAGTGACAGTATACAATATTATTGTATTGTAAAAGTGTATCTAGAGTAAAGTCTTTTTTGAAAACAAATGGTACACTGGAATAAAGAATGGCCATATTGGGCCAGAACAATGGTCAGTCTAGCCATTTTCCTATTTTCTGTCCTATTTTCTGACAGTGGCCAAGTGCCCCAGAGAGAATGAAAAGTGATCATCATTAAGTGATCCATCATCTATTGCCCGTTCTCAACTTCTGGCGATTAATATCATTATGAAATATATATATTAACACTATATAAAGAATTATTGATATTCATTTATATTAGGCTGTACAATTTGCCTGGATATGAAGAAATATCACAGCTATCTCTCTGTCTCCTATGTAAATTAAGTGTGGTACAACTGAAAACAATGGAATCCTACAAGAAGGGAAGAACAGCATGAAGTAATCTTGTCCCTAGAAACTGAGGATATGTCTACACTGTCGGGGTTTTTTGTGGCAGAAGATATGCAAATCATGCTCTCATTTGCATATCTTCTGCCGATGCTTTTTGTGGAAAAGGTTTTGCTGCTAAAAAGCCCCATGTAGACAAGGCCATTTTTTGGAAAAAAAAACCCTTTTTTCGCAAGATCCTGTAAACCTTTTTTTGAGGAATAAGGAATCTTGTGAAAAAGGGTTTTTTTCCTGACAAATGGCCCTGTCTATACGGGGCTTTTTAGTGGCAAAGCCTCTTCTGCAAAAAGGATTGGCAGAAGATATACAAATGAGAGCACGATTTGCATATCTTCAACCGAAAAATACGACAGTGTACACATAGCCTAAGTTATTACATTATTGGAGATATAATCACTGACAGAAACAAGAATTTTTGTAAGCTGAGAAAGATGGATCCTTAATCAAGGAGGTGGGGATTTGAAGTCTCTAAAGCTGACTATAGATGAGAAACCTGATTATATGAAGATCTTTCATCTACAATGACAAGGGAAGCATCTTGTACTTCTGTGGAATTTTCTGAATGTGGGGAGGTCAGTCATGGCTGGGAAGAAGAATGACTGGTGAGAAAAACCATCTTCAACAAAGCCTGCATCTGGCTAGATTAAATTTTAGATTTGTAGAGGCATATTTGGTTTGGTTTTACTTCATACTTGAACTCAATCAATCCTATTTATATTTTGTTAATACATGTATATAGTTTTTTGCCATAAACCAAGTTAATAAGCTGTCATGTTTGTGACATTCTCTCTGACCTGTCCAGGAAAAGGCTGGATATTGTAGCTCACACTGCAAGTCAGTACTGAGAGTATGTTGAGGTCACCTTACTGGTTGTTACGAAGGCTGGTGGAAGCCAGAGTGGGGCTGTTGACGTACTGCTGAGATTAGAGCTGCTGAATCTAGCCAGCTGCCATGGTTGTCTAGCACATAGACATTCAAGGAGTGATCTGCGTGCCGTTTACAGTACTGCACTGGGAGTTGAACTGGTCCCTAGCAAGTCTCAGTACAGTGGAGACAAAAAAATGGCAATGAAGATCATCCTTCCCTGGTCACTGAGCCAAGGACAACTTTGGCCTGGGGATGAATTCATTGTATTGATTCTATGCTTCACTGTAACCCCTACATGTTAGAAATATATGGCTACGTCTAGACTGGCCACAAGTTCCGGAAAAGGGATGCAAATCAGGTAAGTCAGCATAGGGAAATCCGCGGGGGATATTTACATCCCCCGCGGATTTAAATAAACATGTCCGCCGCTTTTTTTCCGGCTTTTCCCCAAGCCGGAAAAAAAGCGTCTAGACTGGCCACAAGTTCCGGAAAAGGGATGCAAATCAGGTAAGTCAGCATAGGGAAATCCGCGGGGGATATTTACATCCCCCGCGGATTTCCCTATGCTGACTTACCTGATTTGCATCCCTTTTCCGGAACTTGTGGCCAGTCTAGACGTAGCCTTTATATATTACAGGTTGTATAGGTATACCAGTTCCCTAGATCTTGGCAATTGTACCACATCCTCAGAGGCAAATGTTGGTAGGCATGCCAGGCATTAGCATTTGGTGGGTTCTGATAAACTCTTTGAGCAAATGAAGATTTCTTTATCAAGTCTGCCAAAATAAAAGATACATACACCTTAAATACAATTATTTTAATGCTTAGAAGAAAAAATAAGTGAGGAGTTCCTATCAGAGATTCCCCGGCAGTCCAGTAATAAGGTAAGCTAATAAGGTAAGCACCTTGACACAGCTCCTCTTTTCCCCACTCTCTTGCATGCCTGTGTTGTCCTGTTATGGTGTTAAGGAGTATGTCTGTTTATAAAGTTCTTGATTTTCTCAGCCTATAGGACATCTGGCTTTTTCTCCCCAGCCAGCTACCAGGCTGCTGTTTCCTGCTTCAACATGGCCCAAAAACTCTCCTACACCTGACCCCTCTGACTTCAATCTGTTCTTCCTTTTCTGTACTTGAGTATTTAGGAGCCCTCTACTGGCTGAAACTGAAGTGGAAATAACACATTGCATACTGAATGGTTAGGCTCATTACCTTCCATGAAAGGTGCTAAAGAAACATGAAGGTCTGTTATTTGAACATAAATGGTCTAAAACAGTGTTTCTTAAACTTTTTAAGATGGAGGAACACCAAACAATAATTTTTTTTAATGAGGA